TATTCGAATAAACTTTCAATGTAATTCGAATACTCAAATTCATAACGAATAAAGTGAATAATTCGAATAAACCTTATCCGAATAGAAGCCCTAGGTTAGATTAGCCTTGTGTACATGAGGAATGTGAGGAATGACTGTAAAATGTTAAGGTAGTGTGCGTGCTTCAATGTCTATAAATTCCCGATAATCAAACGTCGCATATTGAAGTGTTTCGTATTTGAGATGTTTCAATTTCAACAGTGTGCTGCCTTTATTTATAATAATATTAATATTGATTGCGCAAAGCAAAATACCAATTGTTTACCATCTTGATAAGTGTTTTGATTTCAATAATATAGAAGACATATATTAATACAAATAAATAATATTACCTCTGGTTAGTTATTAACTTCTTCTTTAGGAGAACCACGTTTTGTCATTTTAGAAAAAAAAAAATCAATTCGCGTCAAACTCTTCGTGCAACACTAAGTGCCAATAATAATAAATAATCAGTGTGTAACGCATTAATCAAAAACAAACATTATCTTTTTAATAAAAGAAAACAAAAAAAACAATGCCTGCAGATAACAAAAGACGAAATAAGGATCATGGCGATTTTATTAATTAGTAAGTGTTTGCCATAATAATGGTGTTGTCATCGCTCTAGTTTTAATATATAATAATAATAATAATAATAATAATAATAATAATAATAATGATAACAGCAGCAGTTACTATGATATGGCACTTGAGATACGACAAAGAAAAATATTAAAATACAAAGCTGAGATTGCTAAAATGAAAGCTAAAACAATCTCATCTGTTGTATATCTAAATCAAAGAATTAGTTTAACAGAATACCAAGATTGTATAACCATTGGACATGATGAAACATGCAATTTAAGGATTAACGATCCACTATATATTGCAAGTATACATTGTACAATTTCAATTGTAAGTAACAATAACTTAATTAATCATACATATCTATTATATGCAATATTGAAATCATTATCATTTCTATAATATTATTATTATCATTATAATCCCATTAGAGAAAAACAAACATTAAGGAATCAGGCTTTGAAACATTTATAAAAAATAGTCCAAACAAAAGAACTTTTGTTAATAAAAAACTTTTGGAACCAAACGAAGAACATATTTTAAATCATAATGATAAAATTTTAGTCAAGACTCGAGATGGCTTTATTGGTAAGTAGTATATATCAATTAATTTACATATATGTTATGTTTGTATATTTGGTTAATATTTTATTTATTCAATTATATTTATATAGAAATACAATTTTTTGAAGATGCCAAGGATTGTAATAACAATGACAGTAATGATAATAATATTAAAGTGAGACAATTAAACAACAACAACAACAACAACAACAACAACAACAACAACAACAACAACAAAAAAAAAAAAATTAATACTTTTGAAATAGCCACCACCAGTTACAAGAAAAGTTATTATGATCCTTGCCTTGATCTACGCTACATGAAAATACAAAAACTCAAACATGATATTGCTAAAGCAGGAGCTAAAGCAATTTCATCTGTTGTATATTTAAATGAAAAGGTTGTTTTATCAGAAGTCCAAAATCGGATAACCATTGGGCGTGACCTGGCAGCTAATTTGACAATTAACAATCCAACATATGTAGCAAGTATACAATGTATACTTTCAATTGTAAGTAACAATAGTTTAATTAATCATTCATATATCTATTATATGCACATATTGAAATTATTATCATTTCTATAATAATATTATTATCATTTATCATCCATTAGAGAAAAACAGACAACATGCATTATGTTAAGGAATTAGATTTTGAAACAGTTATGAAAAATGGCTGGAACAGGAGAACTTTTGTTAATAATAAACATTTGGAACCAAATGAGGAACAGGTTTTAAATCACAATGATAAAATTTTAATCAAGACTGAAGAGGACTTTATTGGTAAGTAATATAAATCATTTAATATTTACATATATGTTTATGTTTGTATATTTGATTAATATTTTATCTATTCAATTATATTTATGTAGAGGTACAATTTTTTGAAGATGCCAAAACTGATCCTGAAAATCGATTTAGAGAAGAAAAGAATCGTTTACCTGCTCAATCAGGAGAAAGATATCATGTTATAAATAATAAAGATGGTAGTAATGATCATAATGAAATTGGCAAATCATGCATTGTTAAAAAAATTAGATCAAATAATCGTAATGATGAAAACATTTATGCTGCTAAAATTATCAATGTCAGTGATGGAAAATTTGACCAAAACAGAATATTTGAATATAGAAATGAAATTGATATTTTGAAAATGTTGAACCATGAGAATATTATAAAGGTAGTTGATGATTATTTTGACAAGGAGAATATAGTAATTATTTTACCTTATTTTCATGGAGGAAGTCTTGAGGACTATATTAAAACATTAAATGGTTTTATAAATTTCCAACATTGGAAAAAATTGGCTTTCCAAATTTGTTCAGCTATAAAGGCAAGAATATTTTTATTATAGTTTTATTAATATTGTATTCAAATATTATATTTAATCATTTTAAACATTACCATAGTTGTATATCTTTTATACTACATATAGTAACATTTTAAATTTTTTATTCCCTCCAAAATCTATCACTTTTTAAAATGGTTTTTTTTTAGTATATTCATGAGAATCACATAATGCATCGAGACATCAAACCTGACAACATCATGTTTACAGATTCTAATTTTAATCAAGTTAAGTTGATTGACTTTGGTGAGTCCAAAAAAATAGAAGGATCTATTGACAGCATGGGTAATTATATTGAACAGACCAGCACAGATTTAGTTGGGACACCCTTATTTGTTGCACCCGAACTTGCCAAGGCATTCAAAGATAGAATTGAGATGTTTACAACAGATAATGATAGTGATGGTGATACTGCTCAATATGAATATGACAAATCTATTGATATCTGGTCATTTGGGATAGTAAATTACTATATGTTGTCAAAAAAATATCCTTGGAATGTTAATATTCATGTTAGAGAGAAAAGAAAACCAAAAGATTATATTGAGCTTTATGACAATATAATAAAAGGTGACCTAGATTTTCCTACATTTAAAACAATTAGAGGTGATATTAATGAAATTGAAACTGTTGTGGATTTTATTCTTAAATTGTGTCAGGTAGATAGGGATCAAAGGATGTCATCTGATCAAGCATTGCAGCATACAATATTTAGTTAATTTATATGGATGAAGAAATAATAATGATAATTTTTAATTATTTTATACATCTGGTGAACTTGATGATCAAATACATACTCTAATCAAACTGAATACATTGTATTGAATGTAATTCTTTTCATATGTTGAAGTTTGTATATACAATAAAAAAATTTTTAGACCTACCTATAAGGTTTAATTGTATTGGTTAATTGAATATTAATATCATTTAAAGGCAATGACAATATTTTTGGATGTGAACTAAGTCAAATATTAATAGTTATCTATCATTTTTTTTATTACTATTAATATTATTATTGCCAAGATCTTCAGGCATATATTTGATACTACTATATGTTTGTTATACTATAAGATCTTGTTGCACATTATTATGGGGCAGACTGCAACAACGTGAACATTGGTGCTACCAATGATTTCAGGGATCAATAGTATTACCTGTGTATTTGTCTAGACAAAAATAGCTAATATGAAACTCATTTACAAAAATTACAGCATCATTAGAAGTATTTTAAAAAAGGAACAAGGTGAAAAAATTGTTCCTTATGTTTTCAAAATAAATGACACTCAGACACTTGAAACTTATCTAAGAAAAGAAAAGATTACCTATGAAATTTACCAAGAAAGAAAATAATAAATGTTAGAAAAAGAAAGCATCATGATGATGTATTATTGCAAGACACCTAATCCCGCAACTTTCTGCGCCACAACGACGGGAAAAAATTCCCAATCAAAAATGCAATAATAATAAAATTTTCGCGGTCACGTGATAATAATAATAATAAATTTTAATAAATAAAAATCTTTATTATATATACTGCAATTCTTTCTAACATATTTATCCCAAGTATATTCCCATGTAATATATTTTTGGTGCTAAGTGGGAATAGCATGTCAATTTATGCATTTCTTTGATCATTGCAATATTGTCTATTTTATTTCAACGTTATCTTTTTTTAAAGATTGGCAAATAAAAATAAAAATATTCAATTCGTTCATTTTTAATATAAAAAATCGTGTGTAATACAACAGTTTTGGGGTTAACATAGTAAACTCATGCAACTTTGAAGCTAGATTTCTCCATGGTAATGTGACATATCAACAAAATGAAATCATTAGATTGTAGAGAAAGGTCTTAGCTTTGATTATATGATTTGTTTTTTTGGTGTTAAATTTCCATTTTTAGAGTATTTAAAAGATATACATGACCAATAAAAAGTTGTGGGGCTAGGTGTCTTGCACCATATCATTTTCTTTGATAGTTAGAATGAATTTCAATTTATACAGAGAAAAATTACTTTCTTATTTTCAATCAAGGTCATTTCTTAGTTTCTTTAACTTCAATTTGAACAATTTGACTACTACCACCTTGCTGTTCTTTTAATTGCTTATTTTCTTGAGTTAATTTAATGATTTAATCTTGTCCAAAAGCTCTTGTTTTTGTCTTTTATTTCACTCCTCGGATTTCTCTTGGAATTTGGCTACCTCTTCTCTTTCAATATTTAATTCTTATTTAGCAGTTGATAACATTCTTTCTGGTTCTCTTGCCTTATTCTCTAAACAAGAACTGAATGATTGCAAAATTAATTCTTTATCAGAAAGTGGTTTAGTTGATTTAACTTTTAAATGACTACAATGGCACCTGTTTCTATTTCTCTTTAACCTACCACATTTCTCACAACATGGGAAAGTATTGTTATTGTAATCTTTTTTGCATTCACCACAAATAAAAACTGTCAGCATAACCATCAGAAGTATTACAACCATACATGAAGTCGAAATTAAAACCCCAAAGTCGAAATGATTTGACTTGAGGCAACTACATAGTAAAAATCAGTTTTGACCTTATTTCGACCCTATTTTGACCAGGTCTGCAGATGGTTGGAATAGTTTTGACTTCATGTATAATTACAACCTACAATTTGGTGAGTAGCAGGAGTAGTATCAAGACTGAAACTAGTCAGATCATCAAAATCTAGAAAACAAAAATTGCACTCTTGCTCATCTCCCTTTGCTATTTCCAAAATTCTATATTCTAGTCTCATATTTACTTACTTTTCTGAATAACAAAAGTTTGAGCTCTTTCTTTAGTCTTTTCTTTAACTTTACTAACTAATTTCTTGAGTTTGTGTATCCTATTTTCTTTTTGTTGCTTTGGTAAAGATGGTAGTTCTTTATTTTCTAAATAATTCTTTCAGTCTATTTCTTGATTTTTAACTGCTAAATTATTCTCCAACAACTCTATTCGATCCAGAAGTTTTCCCATTGCAGCATCTTGTTTTAACACTGTTTCAAACATTTGACACTTTCTCCTCTCATGGCTGCATCTAATGCTTTTTCAGCTTCTTCTTGTTCCATCCAAACCTCATCTTCTAGTTCTTCCACCTTTGCTTCCAACTTCTTAATTCATTCAATCTTGCATTCAATAATATCCTTGATAATGATATCTTTAGCAGGTCTATCTCCAAAGTTTCTCCACTTCTTATTTTACCAATGATAGCATTCTTTTCACTTTGATGCTCCCAGTGCTTTTCATTTTCAGATTCGTAGTAATTGTTAACAATTTCTTCAATGACTTGTTCTTGGTTTTCACTACTCAAATTATGAATTATTTTTACTCAAATTATTCATTTTATTCGAATAAACCTTATTTGAATAGCAACCCTAACTACTACAATATTATTTTAGACTGTATGATAAAAATACTAGGAATATTATTAACTTATCAGTATGCGAATACCTTGATTATTTTTTTAAAGAATAATCGGATTCTGATATTGATGTTACCAATTTGGCATCATTCAACCAGTAAAAAGAGAACCAATAGATTATATATAAGCAAAGAAAGATGGGAGCAAGAGAATTTTAAATGCACAAATGAAATTTTTTAAGTAACCCAATTTTACAAACAATAATGCGTGCATCTACTCCAAATTCACAAAAAATAAAGAATAAATCATTGGAGAGGATCAAAAAAATTTTTTTTCTTAATTCCAATTATATGGTTTCTTATGAATAATAAATCTGATTATAATAACAGGTGTCAGATTTAATCAAAATTTTCCTATCACTAACACAAGTTTGGGTGCTTTCACACACCTCATAACTGTGGATTTTTTTCCACAGGTAAGGGTGCCCTCTGTTGGAAGGCTTTGGACAAAATCTCTTTTATCTTCCCCTCAGACCAGGCTTGACTGTTTCCATATGGGCATTGATAACTGACAAGAGTTGATATTTGTGTGATATACCTCTCTAGAATAAAGTTAATATCTGCAACTGAGAAGGTTGCAACCTGGGTTTGCTGATTTGGATTTCCCTGGATTCAGAGTTTTGAAGCCTGGGTTGCTGTATTGTTGGCAGCATGCCTACTCAACAATAACCACACCCCATTTAAATAACAAGTTCAGTTGGTCAAATAAAAAATCACCAAAAAAACAGAACATTTGGAAAATGATTAATTTATACATTACATACCAAACAAAATCTGTGCTAATTTATTCTATAGCTTTCACCTTGATGTATGGTTGCTTGCCAAAACTCCTCTGGAAATCAATCAGCAGAGTTTCAGCAGGTAACACACTAATTGTTTGTTAGAGTTTTGGCAGAGTTTTGCATCTAGGGATTTTGACAATTAGCAGAGTTTTGGCAGGTTACACTGTAATTTTTTATTAGGGTTTTGGCAGTCATTAAGAGGTTTCAGCAAGCAACCTTACCTTGATGCCAGTGATCATGATGACTATTAGAATAGGAATGGGCAGAGTCAAACTGCCACTTTTATATTTGTGAGATACATACTCTCATTGAGCTACACATCTTTAACCTAGGGTGGATTATATGGGCAAAAGTCCCCATTTAAAAAATAACAAGTTCAGTTGGTCAAATAAAAATTAAAAAAACAGAAAATCTGGGAAAATGATCAATTTATATATAATATACCAAACAAAATCTGAACCTTTTTTCTTGTTGGCGATATTGCTGACAAAGATGTATATAATCATGCAATAATTTTAATCTATAGGACAGAGGACTGATTGGCAAAAACACATTCATTCCCCTACCCAAAATTTATAAATTGGTAAGTATCAAAGAAACAGAGAATTTAGGAAAATAATTATATAAAACAAACACTATTTTACAACTTTCCTCTTAACATCAGAGCCCAAATGCAATTTCAGGGTCACCATAACCTCCTGTAGCTTGAAACAAGTTGCAGATTCTCTTAATATTTCTCCAGAGTTGTGACTTGGTCACAGAGCCATCCTTACCCTAGAGGTAGGATTATTGCAGGAAATTCAACAGCCTCCTCTAGTCTGGTGCTGTAAGAAAAGATTAGTGAAAGTGTCCTTGATGATTGATACAGTCTCAGTAAACTCCAGGACCATGCTAAACCCCCCTGGAATTCTGTTGCATCATTGTATCATCAGGGGGCGCAAGTCAGATTAGCCTTATGCACATGAGGAACATGCGTAAATGACTGTAGAATGTTCAAGGTAGCATGTGTGCTTCAGTATCTGTAAAATTCTGATAATCAAACATTCATATCAAATGTTTCTTCTGAAAGCCAGGTGTGCTGCCTTGACATCTTCTAATTATTTATATATTTAATATTAATGTTAATATTAATAATGATTATGAAAAGCAAAACACCAATCATCCAATTACCCAGCAAGATCTGCTGTGTTTTGATTTCAATAATATACAGTACATTTATATAAAATAAAAGAAATATCAATGCAAATTAAAAGTTACCTCTGGTTAGTTATTAACACATCTTCAGAACCATGCCAAACAACATCACTCACGTTTTGTCATTTGTCAAAAAATAAATTTTTTTTCCAAAAAAAAAAAAACCAATCATGTTACAAAAAAAACAACAGGGGTTCCATACATAAATAATTAGTGTACACATTTGTTGACTGATCAACAATCTTTTTTTTTTAATTTTAAAAAATCTTTTTGAATTATAAAAAATTAAGAAAGCAACAAGAATGGTTGTTATTGCCACTGCTTGTTGTCACTCTAGTTTCTAATAAGGAGCTAGCAGATTCAATTTCAAATTATATGCTAAAGAAATTGTACTATATTCATACATTAATACACATATTCCAAATATGTATCTTTTTTGTAGAATATCAATAATAACGATATTCTCAACAAATTACCTGATAATCATAACAATGTTCCAGATGACTCAACGTTAGCATCTGATAATTATATGATAAATAATAACAATGTTCCAGATGACTCAACATTACCATTTGATAATTATAATGTATGAGTATTCCTGTTTATTAGTATGTCAATTTATTTTTATTTTTGTCAACTTACATATATACATATTTTTTTTTTTGAATCTTAGAGAAGGTATGATTATACATGAAGTTGAAATTAAAACACTAAAGTCAAAATGTTTTGACTTGAGGCAACTAGATAGTAAAAATCAGTTTCGACCTTATTTCTACCCTATTTTGACCAGATCTGCAAATGGTTGAAATAGTTTTGACTTCATGTATAGGTATGATCTCCGAATTAGGAGAAAAATGGATTACAATATTGGTCCACCATATAAAAAATGCTGCCACCAAGTAAGTAGAAACTGAAACATTGGTAGTAGACATAACATTTTATTTATTTATTTACTTATATTTATAGGACTCATCATCACCACCATCACTACAATCATCATCACAATCATCATCACAACTGTCACCACAACAATTTAATGATGATGAGGTATATATATAATATAAAACTATATCTTAAAAATATTGATTTTTTTTTTCATTTTTTATATATAAGCAGAGTGCACAAATTTGTGCCCATGACATTGTTTATAATAATGTTAAAGAATGTTATGGATAGTGTTAAGAAATTGGATTAATGAATATGCATGTATATATAATATTAAGATTGCATTTAAAATTGTATCATAAATATCAGATATTCTTGATAATTTAAATATTTGCAAAAATAAAGAATAATAATAATAAAATATAAAAATTATTATTTACTTAATTTTAAACAGTCATTGTGAATATGTTGAATCTGATTTATGTTGTCCAAGTGATTTAATTAATTAACTAACTATATTGTTGGTTAGGTTAATATACTAGTTCAGTCCTCACATATAATAATTAATTTATCTTATTTATTGCCCAACCTCAAACCAGTAACAAGCTGTTACCCTTGGTTTTTGCAGGTGTTACTTGGGTAATAGTGTAATTAATATTCATTAAAGGTCTCAGAATTTCTGTCTGTAGTAGAGATGGGCAAAATTGCATTATGCATTATGTGCATAATGTCCCAACAAATAATGAATTGTACCAAAGTTTCATGTCATGTACTTAACAAACATTTTCAACAAAATCAATCTGATATTTCTACTTCCTCTTCCTCTTCTATCTCCTCTTCTTCTTTATCTCAAGCAGCCCATTTAGTTAACAACTCAATTATTAGTTTTATTGATAGAATTTAATAAATCATTTATAGAAAAGATCATCATGCACATAATGCAAAAAAAGTTGCATAATCCCATCTCTAGTTGTAAACTTGTTTCAAAAACAATAATTAATTCTATTGTTGATTTTTAAATACTTGCTAATGCCAACTAATCAGAATCGCCAAAAGATAAAACAATGCTTTCTTTTTCTTAAATAAACAATTCTCCACTTGCACATATTGCACGATAAAAGTTTATCATGTGAAAAAAGGTATTTAAAATCACGCACATAGATTGATTTCAGAAAAAATAAAAAAATTTTTACCACCCAGCAAAAACAAAAAATTCCTTCCCAAAAAATTAAATTTGAAAAACATAGATTTCTTCCTGATCATTGCAATCATTTATTGCAAAGCATTGCAATTCAATGCATGATTGCAAAGAATAGTATATGAAACAAATCATTTGCCATACAACAAATTTTTGCTAAATATGGTGAATGCCAAAAATGAAGCACAACCAAACACAAAAGGAGATAGGGTTTGTATTCATGAATACCATTAGAGGTCATACAAGGTCGCACACTATGAAAATCAAAGCAAGGACAATGATTTTATGCAGCAATAAAATGTCAATTATGCATGCAATAAAAGTTAATTATGCATAAATTATGCACCAAAAATTCCAATTATGCAATTATTTAAAAAATTTATTTAATTGTATTTAAGAATTAATACATCATATTTAATTTCTTTAATGAATCAATTGATAAATTCTGGTGATCACTATTAAAGATACCGGCTGCAACTTTTGATGATGGTTGCTACCATCTTTGCATCATATAAAAACGATTGCAACCACCTTTACAACCATTTTGTTTCCTTTTTTGGATTGCAACATGGAACACTAATCACTATCCAAAAGAGAACTATATTCAGAAAAACTTCTCTCCACACTACAACTTGAAATAGGAAGCCAAATGTAATCTAATGCAATTTTTGAAAATAGTGGTAATTGTTGTAACATACCTAACCAATATTGATTTAAGTCAAGATCATCTGAAGATGAATTGTATTCAAAACCACAATAAATTCCCCATTCTATAATTAATTCATTGCTTGGATTTAGTAATTCTGTTATTGCACTATAATGTTGCGAGCATGCAATCTGAGTTTTCTTGTTTAGCACTAGTTATTTATACTTGTAACCCACTAGACCTTCTTTCTAGTGACTTTTATTAAGTTGTTCTGGATTCCAAATCCCAAGTTAATTAAAGATTCCCAATATATTCCCTGAATATAACCTATCTATATCTGACCTTAGTCCAGATAACCTGTAGATTTTGTGGATTTTCACTATATCACATGTTTAGATATAGTGACCTATATTCCAGCACTCAGTGGAGATAACAGGCTTTACCAATAATTAATTATGTTCTAGCTAGCTACTGATTCACACTGATTCCCTGTCCAATATTCTCCAAAGGCATCCCCTTGGTAATATATATATCACTTAAGATAACAAATGAGACATTATAAAACTAGTTGTGATTATAAAACTAAATTTTGATCCCTGAAATTTTTGGTAATACCAATGTTCACTTTGTCTGGTTTTGTTACAGTATGCCCCATATTATTGATAGTATTTTAAGAAATGACAAATCAAAAATTTGGCCTCATTTGTTAAACTGGCTAGAATTGATAATTCAGCTCCTATTTCATCAGCTTTGTTTCTAAAAGGAATTGGTTTACTTTTTCTTTATAAATGATAAAAAGAGAAATAAACTATTGACACCTGAATGTGCTTTAAATTGGTATATATTTTATTTTAATTACAAATTAAAATGCCCAAAAAATACCAACAATGATAATATGGTTATTACAATTGATGGTGATGGAAATGT